TTGGCCTATTCCACATATCGTGCATAAGAATTACGGTGTGCCTAACAATTCTCATTCCCTTAAAAATGGTGGGGGGGGGGGGAGGGTTGTTGATCAAAACCCAGTGAAGGAAAAGCAAGATATTCAAGAACCCAACCTCCAAAGGCAATCAAAGAGTCCAAATCATTAGTGTAGGTGGTGAAATGAGTCGGTGATGGGGTTTGAAAGTGAAAGACAGAATTTTTTTGTTGTTGTATTTGATGTGAAAAATAGCATTGAACCAATGGCTGTTTTGAGTTCCCAAATTCATCAGGAAGACCAACTCCTCCTGCCGCTAAAATCACAGCTAAATGCAAAAAAAGATGGTTTCTTTTAAAAAGAAGTTGAAAACTTTGACCAATAAGGCAATACATAACTCATTGAATTTGGCCATTTTCTATTTTTCTTTTGCTTTGTATTGATTCTAACGATAAAAACAACAATAATGGTAGAGCTTTGATTATAAAAACATAAATAAAAAACCAGTTTTAAGTTTTCATCTTTGTTAATTTGGATCAATCCAGGTCATATATATGATTTTAGTGTGTGAGTCTCTCAACGGAGATTTTCTACATACATAAAGACTCAAACTTGAAATTTTACTTAAACGATATCAAATTGTTTACCACTTAAATTAACCAACAATTTTATTTAACAAACAAATAGTCAAATTGTACTTTTCCACCTTCGAATGGTAAAGGCTTATGGTGGCCATGAAATGTGGGTTCCCTTTCCTTTACACTTTTTTGAAGGCTTTCCTTTATTTCTCATCTTTTTCATTGTTTATAGACCTTTGACTTAGATAATATTTGAAATCTAAGTTCTATTTAAAGACGAACGTAAGATTTTATATGAAGAATACATATATTTTTAAGGTTTAAATTCATTTGAATATAATTAGTTTCAATAATAGTTTAACCTAAATTTTATTTTTTCTAAACATATAATAATATAGATTGGCCCAACGGTTTTATTAACTGAAAACGTGATTAGCATATATCGATAGTTCAGGAATAAATTGAACTATTTAAAAGCTTGGGAACCAATTTGGAATGAGGTTCATAACTTGGGGATAAAATCAAAATATTTAGAAGTTTAAAGACTAATTTAAAATGAGAGTAATAGTTTGTGGATGAAGCCATACACTTTTTGTATAGAATGCGTGCTGACTCTTTCATTCTTCATGTTGCTACGTACAGGGTTTTGTTTTGAGAAATTTTGAAATGGTGATTATCAAAATTTAGAGACGGATGTATAATATTATGTTAGAAATACGACTGTATTTTAACATCTTTCGATTATTATGTGTGTCGAAGATAAATAAACTCTTTGGGATGTCTAAAGGTCGGATTCCCGATATTGTTACATATACCAATAAAGATTTATTAATGATTACTTATAAGTCTATGATCAATACATTCATATTTTTATGACATTACAATATTATTATATCCAAGTGTTACTAATATGTTCGAGGCTCGAATCGAAATCGAAATCAATATTTTCGAGAAGTAAGTTCAGTTCCAGCAACAATGGCCATTGCAATCAAGATCCTCGCATGCCTATTTTGTTCCGGAACGGGATTAAGAGGATTCGGTGGAGTGTTGAAAATAGTGGTGCAACTAGCCTGTGCCCTAGGTGTTTGTTGTTCGGCCTGCAACATGCCATCGTAATCCTTCTCGAAGAACGCCGACGACGTCGCTTGTTGGAAACCATTCGATAATTCGTGGTACGTGTTTTCGCACGTCGTGAGCGCGTTCTTCTTCACCGGATTGGTCGCGACTTTGAGTAGGCGTGTCGGTCGCGACTTTGAGTATTTGCTCGACAGTTATCTGCATCAGAGCCATGATATCCGCGGTCGGACTTCGCAAGTTTCGGTTGAAGGTGTTGTTACAAAACGCGTATTCCTACATTTGCCGGCATATTTTATCAATCGATGCTTGACAGGATGCAGGGTCGAGGCTTTTAGAGATTATATTCGGGTTGGATTGGATTCGAGTTTAAGATAAAAAATATTTGACCCGACTCGAAAAAATTATAATTTTACCTTATATATTTAAGGATAATTGCAATCAAACCTATCAATATATTATTTTTCCAATTAAATTTTTATTTTTTATTGAATAAAATTAACATTTTTTTATAAATATATTATTTAGGATTAGATTAGGTTGAGTTCGAATTTTATCTCAAAAGAGCGGATCAGTTCGGATAGGATGGAGGGTGTATAATTTTCATATCGAGTTCGAATCGGGTGAAAAATATATAATTTTCAGATTAAGTCGGATTGATCGAAAACTCAAATACTCAACCTAACCCAACCCAACCCAACCCGGTCTATAAGTGGTTATATGTATGAACATGATAACAAGAATGATATGATATAAAGCAAGTATGAATACATGATACGGAGCATGAACATGATGACACGTTAAATGACATGAGAATGTTAAAACTACGTAGAAATGAAATCATACCAACATACATGATCTGATTTTATGATGATTAGTGTTTTGAAACACATTCATTATATTTATAAGGGTAATACACCATTTTTCCTCGAAGTTTATTTTCTCTTTTATTTTATTTATTGTACTTTTAGATTTTCTAATTTACTCATTAATTTTTTGAATTATTCTTATTTTAATCCCTCTGAATTATTTTATTATTACTTTTATATGACATAACATTTTTCATTATTTAACATAAAAATAATTTAAAATGAAAACAAAAACATGAGGTCTACAGCACATGGTGATTATTTTAAGTTTTTTTATATTTAATAATAATAAAAAATACCATGTCATGCAAAAAATAATAAAAGAATCAAAAGTGATCGAAACATAAGCAATTTCAAAGTTCAGTGAGTAAATTAAAAAATGAAAATACAAGTAAAATAGAAAAGAGAGTAAAATTCAGTGAAGAATAGTGTAATTTACCCTATTTATACGCTTTTTGCACAATGAATCTGCACTTTGATGCACCTAAATACAGGGACGGATGCATTTTGGCAAATGTGGCTACCAACGTGGGTTTAGAGATTGAAATAAAGGTTTTTAAATTTTTCTAGTTATTTCAAAAATTTTGTGTTTTTTAAATATAATTTTATTTTTTACTTTTAAATAATATTTTAAAATTATCATATTATGACACATGTCATTTAACGAAGAAAATTAACGCCATTGAAGGCTCAGACACCTAAAATGGTAATGTTTACAATGTTAGACACCGAGATCATTTAAAAAATAATTTAAGAACTGTTCGTAAAAAAAGTATTATAGTTTAGACACTTATTTTATAATTAAGTGTAAAAAATGAATGAAATTAAATTAAATTTAGAGAGAGAAAAGAGGGTTTCTAAATGAAGCTCCATAATTCATCTCATTCAACCACTGCCACATTCATTGTCTTGAACTTATTTGAAAGTAATCTTTGTATGCTTATCAACAAAGCAAAGCCCCTCATTGATTCGCTCTCAAGGATTCTCAATATGAAAAATATACATAGCATGCCACTTAATTTTGGATAACCAATATTAATGTAGCACGTGTTAGAAAGTTTCCACCTTTTAAAAAAGGTATAATAACAAAATTAACCCCCAATGATTTGTCCATATCTTTTTTTTTTTTTAATATTTTAGCCCAACATTACATTTTGGAGCAAAATGTCTCTTGGTTGGATGAAAATTGTTAGTTAACTTATTGTCAATGTTTCATACGGCCGTGACAAGTCCATGTGTTTGTCACTTTAGCAAAAAATTATTTTTAGAACTATTAATTACATATAAACTTAACGATTTTCATCAATAGGACATTCCACGTCAATAGGAAATGTTGACCGTTAGTTAACTAACGATTTTCATTCACCCAGATGGTATTTTTCTCTAATTGGGGCTAAAATGCTCTAAAAAAAATAGAGGACAACGTGACTATTTATACAAAAGTCGAGGATAATTTTATTATTATGCCTAAAAAATAATTATATCACAAATTAAGTTTAAAAATACTAGTCTAGGATGATTCAACGTAAAGTCAACACAATATTAAATTCAGTAGCGGATCTAAAATTTTTAAAATTTTAGATTAAATTTTAATTTTTTTGAATATTTTTAATTAAACTCCTCTCGTAATTTGAAATAATTCTCATTAAATCTCTCAAATTTTAAAAAATTTTAATTAAACCTAGTTTTTATGAAGAAAATATAAATTGAACCCTTCAAAATTTTTAAATATTTTAATTTATACCTATAAATTTTTAAAGATTTTAAGTTAACCCCAAACTCTACACCAAGTCCCGTCACTGTAAATATGTCACATACAAAATAAATAAGAAACAATGTATACTTTGTTAGGTTCAATTATTTATACAATATGTGGAAATATTCCATTCATTAATCATTATTTCATTTTATGACTTTTCCCCACGTTGCCTTAGTCATATTTTTCAAACTTTTGGATAATGATAAAATTAGTCCTCAATAGTTACACTTTTTCAATTTAACTCATATACTTTTCATCTGAATTAACCCATAATATTTTAAACAAATCAAAATTTACCTTCAATATTTTAAGGACATTTATTTTAGATAAAAATAATAATTAAAATGTTAACGGAGTTGAGCACGAATCAAGTAGCCTCGGTGATAAAAGAATTGTTGGTATTCCTTGAGGACCCGAGCGAGCCACATGGGTTTTTAAGTTCGATGTAAAAAGGTCGAGATTTATATTTGAATAGATTCTACCTTGTACTTACTCAGATTAATAAAAAAATGATTTGATTTTTAAGGATGAAATTTAATTAAACATAAATGACTAAATTGATAAAAATGTAAGTATTGGGATCTAAATTAATTATTAGGCCTTTTTTAAAATTTTCTCTCGTTTTCCTTCAACACAAACAGGCAAAAAGCATTAGAGGGAGGGAAAAATAACCTTTAAATATTAAAATTCTTTCGATTTCCCTGTTTCCGTCTCTCTCTGAGTTTTATTTTCCTTCTCTATTTTCTCTCGTTCTCTCTCCTTAACAATCCCTTCATCAGGAACCATAAAGCTGGTAACAAAACCCAGAAAGAGGTAGAGAAGAAGAGAAATTTCTTCCAATAAATCGGAAAAGGAAGAGAGAAAATAGAGGAGAAATCCAGGTATTCTTCTTCTTGGTTTCCAATTTTAATCTTTCTTGAAATCTAATGTTTCTGTTTGCTAATCTGTGTCTTTTCTTTTTCCTTTCTATTTTTTTCTCATTTCGAAGAGGAAATTTAAGGGTTTCATTTATATTTAGATTCTTTGGACTTCTGTCTTGAATTTGAAGCAAACTCATTTCAGAACCGGGCTTAATTTTTCTGGGTCGTGGTTTGATTTTTGAATTGTTTGCTTTTTGATCTTTAATTTCTCTCTTTTTTTAAGGCTTTTAATGAGTCTGATTCCTCTTACAATTTTATCATTATTTGAATGTTACTGGTGTGAATTTTATTGTAAATTCATCTCTTGACGTTTGATTTATTAATTATGATTAATCGAATTATGCATTTATTGTTTTATCTACCACGAAGTGATTGAAATGCAATGCTTGGGTGAATTTGAGCTTTTCTTCTGTATGTTCTGTTGCTTTATTTGATTTTGATGTTTTATGTTCAAATGCTTTGTGAAATTATGCAGGCATATGCATCTCCTTGAGGCTCCTTTGTTCAATTAGAGAATACTTGCAATTTGTATTTGAAGAAACGACCAAGGATGCGTCGTTGGCTTTGCTGTTCGTGTCAGGCAGACGAGAGTTACCAACAACACGAAAACGAGCACTTGAAAGCACCCAAGGATCATACTGATGGTATGCTACTTTGTTGCTAACTTGATTCGATAATTCCGATTTACTGTTAGAAATCCATTGGCATTGCAAATGCTGTAGTCATTTTCTGCTAGTACAGATCTTATACTTATTTAGTATTTACCGCACTCGGGATAATAGAGATGAGAGGCATATTTTCTATTTGTTGGTTCTTCACCAGAAAGCATGCATGACTGAGCCACTGAAACCCCCATTTTTTTTTTGGCGTTTTAAGCTTGTTATGATTTAGGCAAGAATTAGGAATCGACTTAGATTGCCTTATTTATTTTATATTTGACTTTTACTTGCACTCTCATTGTTCATGCTACGGGCTTTTAGGGCATAATAGAAACTCAAAGGTGCCGGCTCCTATCAAACCGGAAGTGCAAAAATCACCACCACCTATCGAAGTTCCTGCATTACCATTGGAAGAATTGAAAGAAAAAACCGACAGTTTCGGATCAAAGGCTTTGATTGGTGAGGGTTCTTATGGAAGAGTTTATTATGCCGACTTGAACAATGGAAAAGCTGTGGCTGTTAAAAAGCTCGATGTTTCCGCCGAGTCCGAGTCAAATGTAGAGTTTCTGACCCAGGTGTGTATAAGAAATTGTAGTTCTAAAATTCGGGTTGTTGTCGTTCATGATTCCCCTTGTTTCTCGACGATTCCCCTGCATGAATTTCTATGGTTAGGTTTCCATGGTTTCAAGACTGAAGCATGACAATTTTGTCGAGTTGCAAGGTTACTGTATTGAAGGAAATCACCGTGTGCTTGCCTACGAGTTTGCAACGATGGGTTCGCTTCATGACATATTGCATGGTTCGTCATGCTATCACATTATATTGATTCTTGATATAGATCTATCTGACCAGAGTGGACTCGTTTAGTTTGACACTTTTCTTGCTTTTGGGAATCATAGGAAGGAAGGGAGTTCAAGGGGCACAACCAGGGCCAGTTCTTGACTGGATTCAGAGGGTAAGAATTGCAGTTGATGCAGCAAGGGGCTTGGAGTACTTGCACGAGAAGGTTCAACCCTCGATTATCCACAGAGATATCAGATCTAGCAATGTGCTTCTTTTTGAAGACTTCAAAGCCAAGATTGCAGATTTTAACCTCTCAAACCAGGCTCCTGACATGGCTGCTCGTCTTCATTCTACTCGAGTTTTGGGAACCTTCGGCTATCATGCCCCAGAGTATCTTTCAAATCCCTTTATATTGTTTATTTGTTTCTCTCAAACTAAATCAGTTATTGCCTGTTGTTGAGCTGCAAATACTATATAGGATTCGGAACTTATTTTATGGCTCGAATGTATTCTAGGTATGCTATGACCGGTCAGTTGACGCAAAAGAGCGATGTCTACAGCTTTGGGGTTGTCCTTTTAGAGCTTCTTACGGGTAGGAAGCCTGTTGACCACACAATGCCTCGTGGACAGCAGAGTCTCGTTACCTGGTGAGCTTATTGCTTTCTCTTCTTTCTCCCAATCTTTTCACCTAAATTTCAATTAACACTTGAACGTTCCGTTTTCTCGATTTCAGGCTACCCCACGACTGAGCGAAGACAAAGTAAAACAATGCGTAGATCCAAAACTGAAGGGAGAGTATCCTCCTAAAGCCGTTGCTAAGGTATTCTTATCCTGTATTTGCATAACTTGCACTAGTTCAATTTCATAAAGCACACTATACTAACATATCGCATTCGGTATGTCTCTGCCGGTGCAGTTGGCAGCTGTGGCAGCGTTATGCGTGCAGTATGAAGCCGAGTTCCGTCCTAACATGAGCATCATTGTCAAGGCTCTCCAACCATTGTTGAAGCCTCCAGCAGCAGCAGCGGTGGCGGCACCCGAGACTTGAAAAGCAAATGAACCCAAGTTTCTCCTCCAGTAATCGGAACTTCCACGACCTATGAATAGGTTGGTTTCATAACGAAATACACTTTTTAATCTGATCACTAAATATTAATTATATACACATTCTCATATTTTTTCATATATGACGATGGTAAGCTTAGGATTGGGTTGATCCGTTTAATTTCTGTCGGTTTCCGGTTTTGGATGTAGTCGTAAATTGACCAGCGGTTTGGGTTGTGTTGACGAGTATGGTTTGGTTTGTACTTTGGTCATTGTTATGCTTCATAAATTTGTATGAATGTTTTCGTTGAGAGAGATTGGAACTAATCGAAGAGTGATGGGCAGTCTTTGATTTGTTGATGTTTATATCTATTTCCATGAAGAAGAAAAAAACACAAAAACTGAATAAGAAACCATCAAGCAGCCAAAGGACCTGTAAACTAAATAACCCATAACTCATAATGCAAGACTCAACAATAATCAATATAATGGGGGCATAATGCCGAAAATAGCTCTAATATTTATCAAAATGATCATTTTGACTCTTATTTATTTTTTTGGAGCATTTTGGCTTCCCAACGTTTACTGAGGCAAAAAGCTCCCTCTATAGATGGAAACTATTAGGTTAACACATGATTAACGTTCCAAAATATGAGTCTTTTTAATCTAAAATGAAACGTTGGGACAAAATGCTCCAAAAATAGAATAAATGACAAAATGACCATTTTAATAAACGTTGGAGTTAATTTCGACATTATGCTCCAAAACTATGCTTGATTTACATATGCATACTAAACATTTTGTGATTTGTGAGCCCATTGAATAGTCTCAATGGTTAAAGGGACTGTCATGTTCTCTTGAAGTCCTAAATTTGAGTAGATGCAACTGCAATATGATCAATTATTAAGGGGCTCTGAATGATTAAGCGCTGAATGATTAAGAGGCTTTGGATGAATTAGCTCTGAATGTGACATGATGTTTGTTTACTGGCTCTGAATCATTCAGAATGTACTTCTGTGCTGAATCAGTCAGCACTAAATCATTTAGAGGTGTGAAACAAACGCGCTGAATACTGAACGATTCATCATTTAACGTTGAATGGTTCCATTAAGAGGCAAACAAACAGCCCCTAAGAAAGATTATCATAAACTATTTTTTAAAAAATAGTGCTTTGTGCTTTGTGGCAGAGCCACAACTTGGCAAGGGTGAGCACGTATCCACCTTAAAATTTGATTTTTCTTCGATTAGTTACTTATTTTACGGACGATGTCTACCCTGAAATTTTATTTTTACTTATCCATTTAAAACTTTTATGTCATTAACATATATGTGTCCATCTTGAAAAATATTTTTGAATCTGTCACTGTTTGTGGTTCTCTCTAATATCTAAAGCATTTAGAACCTAAATTATCAGATTTAATCCATTTTAGTACCTAAACTTTCAATTTTTTTCAAAACAATATCTAACATTTAGTTTTCATTTCATTTCAATATCCTACCGTTAAAAACTTAACACGTTTAATACCTAAACTATAAGTTTTGATTTGTTTTAGTACCTAAAATTTTAATTTTTTTCGAAACTTAACGTTAAATTTTGAACAAGAGTATCAAAATAAAACGAAAACTATAGTTTTTAACTACGAGTACTAAATGAAACAAAAACTTAACTTTAGATATAGTTTTAAAAAATTAAAAATTTAAGCATTAAAATGTACTTAAGTACTAAACGCTAATTTACCCTATTTTTAACATATCCAACTAAATACAATCCAAATCCATCATTTATGATCAGATAATCCGGCCCTTGCAAATGTCAAGTATATATATATATATATATATACCCAAGCCAAATCCTATAATCCCAGAACACTCGGTCATCTCTCATTGGCGCCACCATCAGCTTGAGTTAACCAACCATGGATGATAATAAAAATCCCAAGAAGAAAACCCAATGTTTTCCTCTTCCTTCTGAAGGAAGTCAAGAACTGGGTCTTCCTTCTTTCAGTGAGAAAACTCTCCCTCTTTCTGGGTTTTTGCAGGGAGGAAAGAAAGATTGTTGCTTTGGAGTCGACGCCATTGAAGCTGTCAACAAGAGGATCATCAAAGGAAAAGAAACCTTGGATTCCCAAGCTGCAATGGAATCCGAAAAGAAACCACCTTTGGTTGATCTTGAAACTGGGAGGATTTTCACCGCCAAAGATCTTGATTTTCCTGTCGGATTGCCTCTGAAAATTGAAGTCGTCGATGATACAGCTTTGATCGGATCATTCGCACTCTCCAGAACTGGAAATTGCGGTGTAAAATATGGGAGGAAGAAGAAGAAGAAGGAAGCTAAAAGATCAAGAAGGAAGGGATGGATTGCAAGAAAGGTTTCATCCGTGGATTCAACGAAGATTATGTACTCGAGGAAGGAATTGCAGGATTTGAGGTTTGCTAATGTTGAAGAACAGTATAGTTTTTGGATGGATATCTATGGCGGTCTCGCCATTGATGTGATCAAGGAGTATGAAGATTTGGCTAGCAAGCCACAGAAGAACACTGCAAAGATTGGTAAGTTCTTTTTGAATGTGTGTGCTTTCATCATCTTGTTTTCATCTCTTTAATCAATGGACTCGTTATCTGTTGTTGTTGTCGCAGGTTTGGTTGCTGGAAGAGGAACAAGGGTTGGTGTCAACATCTTTGTACATTGACTCTCCGGGCGGATTCCGGCTCGTAAAACTTTGTTGCTGATACTTTTAGGCACATTGTATCAGTGTTCAGTTCCCTCCCCTAGGCACATTGTGTGAATGTTTAGATCCTTCCCCCATAGGATACTTGTAAATAGGATTCTCTTGTTGTATGAGATTGTATGTTCTGATGTGATCCTGCAAAGGCCCCGTTCGCTCTGATTTCGACTCGAAAACTTTCGTTTCGGATTCTTAGGCAGTGTTTAGTTTCCCTGTATAGGATGGTTGTAAAGAGGATTCTTGTTGTAGGAGAATTTTGTGTTGATAATATGCAGGGTGTCGTATGGTACATTCTTTGTAACTTCTTTAATGAAATTCAGCCCTTCACCATTTGCTTTCATGGTGGAATGCGATAACTAGTAGGGACGGAACTATAATCAAATATCGGGAAAGATCAAATTATTCAACTATTATTTATTGTCTCGTCATAATACATGTTCTTAAACCTTTGTTGGTGATGGTACTTGGGATAATGTTACTTACATCATGTGTCGAATGTCGATATTCGTCGTTCTTTTCACATTCAAATACGAAAATATTAGAAGAGTTTTTTTAATGTTTAAGAATAATCAATTAAGTTAGGAGGGTTTTTCAATACATAAAAATAATAACGTAAACTACGTATTTAATACTTAAATTATCCATTTTGATTCGTTTTAATCTTTTAATTTTTTTTTCAATACCATCCGTAACATTTATTACATGGTTGTACTTGACATTGAATTATTGGCAATAGAGACTTGTACTGTATCACCATCGTGTAGTACATTTGAAGGCATGTACTAAATCACTGGAAAAATAGATTTATAAGCTGCTTGATTCTGCATTTCCATGGTGTGAGCACATGTTGGTGATCGGCGGAGGAGTCCGGCCGGATCGACCCGAGATCGGACACGTTCGTTTTCTGATTTGAAAATCTTATTTATAAGTTTTCGACCACTTCGTATGTTCTCATGTCGCCCCTGTAGGACTCCCCTCGATTGTTTTTTTGTGTGTTCTAAGTCATGAGTGAATTTATGAATAAATACGATCAAATATTAGTAAAAGGTGGAGGAGTCCAACCGGGTCGACCTCAGAACACATCTAGATTGACTCGGGATTTTGGTGGGTGAGTTTCTTAACAGAGATTTTCTGCATACACAAGGACTCGAACCTGAGATCTTACTTAAAATAAATTAAACTATTTATCACTTGAACCAACTTTATTGTTAAATTTTTAAAGCTTACTATAAGCGAATTCCAGATATATTAAGGTATTAATCACCTTTTTCTCTCTTTTAAATTTTATGAGGAAAAAGGTATTAGAAGTTTTTGTATTTCTGGAGAAAAAAAAAATTCAATATAACCCTTAATATTATTTTTCCTCTCAATATGACCTTTTAACTCACAAAATAAATATAATGTTGTCATTTGATCAACGTTTTCGTCGTTGACAGTTACAATATTGGTGTGCTAGTTCACAGTGTTGACGTGGCGGTCCATAGTGTTGATGTGGCGGTCTATCTCTCATGTTTGAGTTACCAATTTAATCAATTTTCTATGTCATCCGTCACATTAATATGTCACATTGGATTATCATGTCAGCATCGTGGATCGTGAATTGTCATGTTAGCATTGTGAAATACCACATTTGCACCGTAATGGTCAATGATAAAAAAACGTTAGTCAAAGGATCACATTAGATTTTTTTTATGAATTGAAGGGTCATATTGAAAAAAATAATAATAATACTTGAATCACATTAATCTGAATAATATAATTATTGTTAAAATATTTAGAAAACTTAGATAAATATTGTTAAACGTAATCATCTCTGATTTAAGAGACGGAATTATATGTAATTTGTTTAATTTGATATAGAAAACATAAATTAAAAATTTTACATGCACGAATCAATATTCTATTATTTTAATAATCATAATGTCAATTAAATTTAAATTTTATCAATCTACGTGAATGCATAAATATGTGAATTTTATTTAATATAGCTTTTTGATAATAAAAGTATATTAAATTATAGGCAAAATTATAACTTTTATCTCTGTAGTAGACCTAATCTATCACTTTTGTCCATATCGTAATTTCGTATCAAATTAACCCTCGAAATTTTCCTCACCAAATTAACAAGGTTAACATGATGAACAAACTGTAGTATTTACATAGGAGTAATAATGAACAAAGATAATACATAAATAAGTTCTTTCTCTTGCTTTACACCTAATTCAATTAACTTAACTTTCCTCACCAAATTTTCCTTCTTTTTTTTCACTCTCCCCATCCAAACAAGGCCTTTCTTCGTCATCTTAGGTTTGTGGGAGATGGAATCGGAGGACGATGAGATTGATTACTCGCTCTCGGTGGAAGACGATTTCTACAGCGGCGATTTCAGCTATTGCTCCGACGACGCTGACGATTATTACTCCGACGAAGACAATGATTACGGCTTACTTGAAGAAGACGACGATGATGATCGGAATGCCGTCGTTTCTCGTCGTCCCCAGGTCATCTTTTTGATCTTTTATTCAATTCCGCAAAGAAAAAAAGAGCTCTTTTTTATAGCTTGATTCCTTTTTAGGTTCGATTAACTTTAAGTGTGCTGTTGAAGAAGATGCTGAATAAATTCCATGGAATTATAGATATTTTAATTTTGGAAAATGGGCAATTTATACAAAAAATGGAGGAAAGATAGAATTTTTAGTGAAATTAGTTGTAAAAGTAGAGGCAGTAACGCCTGGAAACGGCGAGGAACTGGGACTTAGATAGTTTTTTTTTATTAAGCTAAGGTGATTACAAAGAAATATCTGTTCTAAATGGTATCCACCATTTGATGATGAACGTTCAGTCACTGGTGCTCAACCTGTGGTCTCTAGGAATAACAACCGTTCCTTAACCACCAATGAGGTAATTTGATTCATGCAGATAATATAACAACTGAAGAAAGAAAAATATAATTCAAAGTAATATTTGGAAATGTGTATCCTTTTGCTCATCAGATCAGTGGTAGAATGATAAAACAGAGGTTTAAGTGGCTAATAATGACTTATTTTCAGACACATAAGGAAAGATTTGGTAGTTAATGATTGTGTATGGTGTCACAGAATCTCCTTCTATACAGTTGCTGATGTTTTTCTGAACTTTTTTTCTCTTTTGATTGATTTGGAATTCAAATAGCTGGTTAAGTTAGTTCTTGATTACATCTCGTTTTTATTGGTGATGAGATAGTTTTGGGGTCTGATTTCGCGATTTGTTTCGTTAATGATGAAGAAATGAAAGTGGGCACTAATCACTTGCTTTTCATTCTTATTAGTTGGTGGTAGAATCACTAGACTTGAAATTCAGAGTTTAGAAGATTGAAAACATTGCGCATTGAATTCAATGCAAGTATTTCCAGCTCTATTACAATATTAACATGTTTTTGTTTTCTATTTCAGTTAAGTTATACTGTTTTGAAGGAAGCAGATATAAAACAACATCAAGAGGATGATATTTCTAAGGTTTCTACTGTCCTTTCAATATCAAGAGTTGATGCAGCTATTTTGCTCCGATACTATAAATGGTAATTTGTTTTTTTTTTCTCTCTAGTCTTCTGTTCTTTTGGTGGTATTTTGGTCAATATTTCATTATTCATATTCCCTTTGTTGGTACAGTTCTCAAAATTCAAGGTTGTGTATGTCTTCTGTTTTAAGTATTTGTTTGTCTCCACCATTTTAGAGGTCCTTTTTTGTATAAATCATAGCAAGTGGGCCATTCTTCTTCTTTGTGGAAAGGTGGCTGTGAGTCTATGACTGCTTTCGCTTGCTGTTAATTTCATGCATTAGACTGATTGTATTGTTAGATTTCAGAAACTTGTTTTTCTGAACATGGTTGGCATAGCAGGAGTGTCAGTAAAGTGCATGAGGAATGGTTTGCTGATGAAGAAGAAGTACGACAATCTGTTGGATTGTTGGAGGGACCAGTTGCTCAAGTATCAAATGCTAGAGAAGTAAGTTGTACAGAGATTTGCTTATTATTTTAGAAACTTGTTCTTTTCTGATATTTGATCTTTGGGAACTACCTACCTGACACATCTTGTTGCTTCCTGATCAGCTTACTTGTGGGATTTGTTTTGAATCTCTTCCGTGCGACAATATTACTTCAGCTGCTTGTGGTCATCCCTTTTGCTTTTCTTGCTGGCGAGGTATCCCTTATGCTTAGTCTGATAGGTTAATTTTAATTTTCCACTAATCAAAGTGATAGCTTTATGCACATGTTTTTCACTGTGTTTGAAATTAAAATTTTCTGATGAATATTTCCTTACTAACATACCACCATTTGGCTTCGCTTATAAGTGTTTTGATTTTTCATATATTATGAAGTACTAATTTCTGTATACTTTGTTATTCGGATAGTTTATCCTTTTCTTTTATTATGCTTTGTGACAGGAAAAAATTGCTTATACTTTCGTTGCTATATTGTTTTTATCATAGGTTACATTTCTACCACCATTAATGAGGGTCCTGGATGTTTATCACTGAGGTGTCCTGATCCATCTTGTAATGCTGCTGTTGGCCAAGATATGATTGATAAGTTGGCAACTTGTGAAGAAAAACAAAAGTATTCTCGGTACCTACTTAGGTCCTATATTGAAGACAACAAGAAGGTATGTTTTGTGTAGACTCTTCTTAGTGCATGTATGCATGCAAGTGTCCCATCTTGTTTAGCATTTGTGCTGTTTGTGCAATGGATAAATGAGCATGGATTGCTGGTTCCATTAGTTTTGATTGGTTATATCTTTTCTGCTTCCATTCTTGTCCTTATTTCTTCTTTTGCTCACTGGCAGACCAAGTGGTGTCCTGCTCCGGGGTGTGATTATGCTGTTGATTTTGTTGTTGGTGGTGGAAATTTTGATGTCTCCTGCATCTGCTCACATAGCTTTTGTTGGAATGTAAGTACGGATTTTTTGTTTTATTCTAGATTAGATTTCATGGGCAGACTCTCTAACAAATGTCTAAGTTATGCCACATCTTGGTCTCAGTGTACTGAAGAAGCTCATCGTCCTGTTGACTGTGATACTGTGGCAAAGTGGATTTTGAAGAATAGTGCAGAGTCGGAAAACATGAACTGGTAAGGCATATTTTATGTCTTCAAGATGGTTCTGGATTCATATTCCTTAATCTGAATTTGGAGTGAAGTGCTACCACTGTTTTTCTATTTGACTTTTGCTGTTCATATTGGTAATTGAAAGAAATAAAAAACCTCC